CACTTTTAAGACGAATATAAATTAATTATGTCATTTGTATGGTTTTCAAAATCGAATCGTGTCATGTCTTGCGCTCGCCCCCCGATCTCTCATAACCACATCATTTTTTGTTTGGTCCCATGATCCAAAACTGATTGTAAACTAAATCCAATGGGCAGAAAATGTTTAATAGGCCAAATTATAAAATTATTGTCTTTCTAAAAAATTATTTGCCTATGGACCACGGAACTAAAGTACAACTAGTGCTAAATGATTTTTTTTTCTTCGTGTTGTTAGATATCATAAAATATATTTTGGAAATTTATACATCAAAATTAAACGAGACTATAACTTCACGCAGTGGCTAATATGGTTATATATAATTTTCTTTGAGATCGTATATTTCTTGAAACGATTCAATAGCGTGCCTGATAGTTGAGATTGATGGCATATACTATATCATTTAAATCATACAAAAACACGTTGAATTTTGGATATTTTAGTTGACAAATGTTGTAGACAATTTGTTTTTGATGAACCTCTCTACTCCTAAAACTAGTCGTGCAGCTTCAAGGGGTTTAGATTGGACCAGATTAAAATCCTAGATTTATAGTTTGATATTGACACAGACCATGCAAGATTATTATAAAAAAACTCAACTTTCATGTAATGAACAATCAGTGCCGTCCCATGGGTAAAGCAAGAGAAACCCTTACTTTAAGTCTCCCTCTATGAGGAAAATTTTTAGGCCACATATACAATATGTATATATAGTTCTAATGGTTTGAGTGTAGATAGATAGAGTCTCCACATCACGGGTTCGATTCGAGTCTTTGTCTCTGTTTTTTGCTCCTTTTGCCATTTTTAAGTGAATTTTTAATTCCCTTTTTATTTTTTTGAATCATAAAGACTCGGAAGGTCGACGGTCTCTCTCTCAAAGAGAAAAACAAAAAGTCAGACGACGGCACTGCTTCCTCGCGCGCTGATCTTTTGCCAAAAGGAAGAGATTTCTGATTTCATTTCAGAATTGGATAGCTTACGAATCGATTGTCTAGCGAAGATCGAAACAACGGAACACGAGATTTCAGAGAATTTAGATAACTTTCCTTTGTTTTTTCTTACGGTTTTTGTGTTTTTCAAGCTCTTTATTATTTGGGTGATTGTTTGTCCGGTTTGGCTTCGAATTTTGATTGATTAATAAAT